TCCCCCAAACGCCCTCCCGTCCTTTAAAGGCAAAAGCAAATGCCACCTGCTCCTGGAAATCTTCCTGGATCTTTCTACACCCTGAACATCACTGGTATTTGGTTCATGTGTCTGATAAAGCACTTCTAACACATTATAGTTTTGTAGTTTGAAATGTGAAACTGCTGCTCTTAGGGTCAGGAAAACATGAATTCAAATCCTGCCCGGGCGAGTCACTTAACCTTTATCTGCCTCAGTTTCCTTGCCTATAAAATTGGGATAATAATAGCACCTATATCCCAGAGTTGTTGTGAGGGTGAAATTAAAGTTCTATCTATAACGATGATTGTGCTGATCATTATTATTGTTATTTTTATTTCTTAATGTCTCAGATTTTTCCTGCATCTGGAAATGGCTACAATAATAGTACCAACCTCTCAGAGCTGTTGGTGAAGATCATACGATATTTGTAAAGTCCTTTTCCAACCTGAGAGGATGACGCGGTCCTGTCCTACTGCCCCAGGATCAAAGAGCTAGAGATGGGAGAGATATTAGGGTACCCAAAGGAACATACAGCCCAATGCTCTCATTTTACAGATGAAGAAATTGAGGCACTTAAGGGGAAGTGACTTTCTCAAAGTCACACAGGTCTAAGTGGCAAAGCTGGAATTTGAACCCACCTCTTCTGACCACAAATCCAGGGCTCTCTCCACTGTCTCTTCACAGTGTGGAAGCTCCACCAGGGCAGGCATCAGGAGCAGGGCTGGAGGTTTAGATGTAAGCTTCATACCTGCCTCAGAGCCTACCACATTGCTTCATTTAAAAAAATAGAATTGTGCCCATTGGCCAAGTGAGAAAGGGGCTCGAAAGGTCTCCAATAGACCAGGGTGTCCCCTAGCCCCGAGGTTTTAAGTTAAAGTAATACTTAGAATAAAAGGAAGAAAAAAGATTTTTTTTTTAAAGTTAGCAGTCAGGAAATGAGAAGGAAACCACAGCTCTGAATAAGGATTGGGGGAGGGGAGGGAGGAGGTCCCTCCCTTCTTTTAGCTTATTGACCATAAAAACTGATAAATCCCCAGAATCAAATCCATCTGTAGTGGGGGTCAAAGTACAGTACATGATCCATGTGGTGTGGTCCTCTCCCCAACAAAAACAAACAAAAAACCATGCTTTTATTTCCAGGTGAAATGGAGTTTAAGTGAACATCAGGTCAGGCCTGAAGAGGAAGAGAAGTGTGTGTCTTTTTGTAAGCACCAGCGTACAGCATCTGGCCTTCCCTTCCTTCCCTCCCTGCCCCGGCTCTCCCTGCCTCCAGCCACCAGGACTCTGAAGCAGCTGGGGCCCTCGACTATGGGATGTAGATCTGGAGGCCCCCCATGCAGAGCCTTCCAGCACCTTTCCACTTGCCCACCTTCCGGGCCTGCTCCTCCTGCAAGCCTGCCCACATCATCCCAGAACGTTGAGGATGGAGGGGACAGGAGGCTCATTTCACAGAGCAGACAGCTGAGGCCCAGAAGAGTGCTTTCTGCCTCTCAATGTCCTTTCAGTGACTTTGGTCCCTCCTCTGCATTCCTGCAATACTTATCAGTACAACAAATGAATCAAAACAGTAAGTCAGGGTGGCCTGCACTGTGACCAGTCCTCTACCATTGCCCAGAACTGTTATTTAAACCCATCCTGGTTACTGAGCTTTTCATACGGCCATCTAGAGTGCTTGCTGCTTTTCTCCCCATCTAGATCAATTACTCGATCAACAGGCATTTGTTACGTCACTGCTATGTATAAGATACTGCAGCTAGCACTGTCCTGTCACCATCAGACTGGTGGCTGGCCCAAGCAGCACTTTTCTGAGGAAGAGACAGCCCTCCTATCAGTCGACAATCAATGAAGCCCCTCCCTAGGTACCAGCGTCTTGCTGGGTGCTACCCAGCGCCAGATGGGTAAACACTGGAGATTCACAAACTCAATATAAAATAGGGACACTAACAGCTGCGGAATGAGCAAAGGCCTTTGACACGACCCTAAAGGGAACTGGGGCTCAAAAAGGTGGTGGTTAGGAGAGAAAACATGCCAGGTGGGGGCTGTCCTACAGGGGCCATAAGAAGCCGGGGGGGGGCAGTCTGGCTGGAGTATTGAGGGCTTCAGGGAGACAGAAGGGTCATTGTTCAGGAACAGACAATGAAACACCTCAGATGCCAAAAAAGGCAACGACGTATTTGATTGCAGAGGCAATCTTCTCTGGGCCTCAGTTTTCCCATCTGTGAAATGAGGATAACCCTCGAACAACCTACCCACTAGGGTTTTGTGAGGAACAAAACCAGGACAAAGCACTTGGTCATTATGGGAGATCAGCAGTTCATCTGTAACTCTGACTCTTGTCCAGTTGAGTAGGCACTGGGAGGTTAAGGAATTCAGCCAGTTCACAGGGAAGCCTGGAATCTGTTATGCCCCACCGACTCTCATTTTCAAAGGAGAGATGCTAACAGCTCCTATGGGAAGGAGCCGGAAGGGAGCTGGGAGCCTTCTGGTCCACCCTCCTCTTGGTGGTGAAGGCAGTGAGGCCCAGAAATGAAGTGACTTGATCAAGGTCTCAGCAAATGGCAGAGCTGAGATTGAACCCCAATTCTTTAGCTCCAAATTCCAAGCTCTCCCCACCATACCACACACCTGTTGCTTCCATTTGGTTCCTCTTCCTGGCTCAGGTTTCTGGCCAGCCTCTCAAAATTCAGCCTTCCCCAGTCCACTAAACCAAGTTTCATCTCTTTCTCTGTCTGTCTCTCGAATTCTGTCTCTTTCTGTCTCTGTCTCTCCGTCTGTCTTTCTCCTGGGCCTTCTACCTTCTTCCTTCTGGACTAAGCCATCCCTTTTCTCTTTTTTTGTTTTTTTGTTTTGTTTTGGTTTTTTTTTTGGTTTTTGCTAGGCAATGGGGTTAAGTGACTTGCTCAGGGCCACACAGCTAGTAAGTGTTATGTGCCATCCCTTCTCTCTTCAAGAGGCCAAGAGCTAACTGCTGCTCTTGCTTACTCATTACCAATTAATACCCGGGCATCAGATTTCCAGAGGTCTCTTAGCATAGACCAAAATCTATGTAGAAGGCCATTCTGGGCTTCAGGAAAGACAGCTCCCAGACACAGATGGCAAGAGAAGTTTCATCAGCCCAATTAATTCATGAGTCATTTTTTTCAGCACAGGAAATACAAAACCGTATCGAGCTATGAGCAGGCTAAGAAAAGTTACTCATTACAAAAATACCCAGTTATTTTTTAGTTTTTGGATGATTAAGAAACATCTAGACTTTCCCTGTGCCCCTTTCAGAAACAACAACCCTCAAGATCATCGATTAAATCTCAGAGGGATTTGTTCCCATCTGCATTGAGGGGAGAGTGTCCACGCCTGCCAACAGACTCCGAGTCCTAGCAGTCCTAGCGGTCAGTAGACAGTGTTTTTGGTTATCTTTTATTTCACTAAGGTCTTTTCCCTCCTTGTCGTGCCCGGAGCAAGGGCAAGGCAACCTTACTTAGCCTTCCACCCACCTTCTGCTCGGGCCTTCCAAGCCCCACTCATCCGCCCCAAGCACCCCCACCTCTACTACTAAATGCTCAAAGGCCCAGGAGGGGACTTCTCCACTCAACGCATCTCCACAAGCATTTATAAATTCCAGCTCCGTGCAAGGAATGCACAGTTGTTGTGGATGGGCAGGAGAGAGAGGGCAGAATAAGTTACCAGGAGCTGCCCTCAGGGAGCTTAGGTCTAAAAGGGGACTTCTACACAGTTTGGGAGAGGGAACTCTCAGGTGAGAAAGCTCCACCTACCGAGGCAAGCCACTCACTTTTCTGCAACTTCAGCTAGAAAGTTTTCTAGTGAATTGAAAATTCAGTGGCTTGCCTGGGGGTCACCCAGGGTAGGGAGGGACTTGGAACTGTGCTGACAGAAGAAAAGACTCCCGAACTAATCTATTCATTAAGGCAATCTATGCCTATAGGACCAGATCTCCTCAGTTTAGGACTGGACCCCAAATACCGGGTTGACCAACTTTTGTATATTAAAACCAATTCATCAAATAAGGACAGTTAAAAGGAAACAATATAACATTCGGTCGTCTGATTTCTAAGAAAGTTCAAGGAGGAGGGTGAGAATGAACAGGTCCAAATCCCCGAATTCAGAAAAAGAGGGGTCCTACGCCCCCCAAGAGACCATCAAAGGAATATGGAAACAGGAACTGATTGATCAGTACAGGGCCAGGTTTTAGATAAGATGGATGATGGGTTTCTTGTGATGTTCAAGAGAAAACTCCTTGTATCCACCTGGTCAGTACAACCTAGGTCCTCGGCTGAAGGTCTCTGAGCAGCAGGATCCTTGGAACATGGGATGTGGGAAGGACCAGAGGGCAGCAGATGACAGGGCCGGGAAGGACCAGAGGACACTGGACGACAGGGCCGGGAAGGACCAGAGGGCAGCGGGCCTCGGGCCAGGAAGGACCAGAGGGCAGCGGACGACAGGGCCGGGAAGGACCAGAGGGCAGCGGACGACAGGGCCGGGAAGGACCAGAGGGCAGCGGACGACAGGGCCGGGAAGGACCGGAGGACAGAGGACGACAGGGCTGGGAAGGGCCGGAGGACAGTGGACCTCGGGCCGGGAAGGGCCGGAGGACACTGGACCTCGGGGCCGGAGATGCCCTCGGAACACGGGACGTGGCAGCCCGAGGGCTTTAGAAGAGCCCTGGGACGTGGGACGTCGGACCAGAGGTGACCCCGGGGCTCCCCGGTCCAGAGGCCCAGGGGTAGCTCCTACCGCCCAGCCCCGCCCCCTCCCAGCCCCCTCCCCCTGGGGTCCCCGCCCCCCCCGGGATCCCCTTCACCCCGCCAGTGACCTTGACCTTGGGCCCCTCCCCCACGCAGGTGGCGCAGCGCCCCGGGGCCCACGTGGGGGGGGCGCCGGGGCCTCGGCCGCTGATTGGCCGCGGGCCCTTTGGGGGCCGGGCGGGGCTCCCCGTCCCTTCCTCGTTCCTGCCGCGGACGCGGGGGGGAGGGGGTGCTTCCTCTCGCGAGAGCTGCGCGAGTTCCGCATTTCGGAGTGGGGGGCTCGGGTGGGCGGCTCCGGGCGCGCGGCTGGCCGGGATCGCTCTGTCTGACCGTCCGTGAGTGCGGGTCCAGGGCGCCGCTGCCCCCTCCCTCCCCGGCCGTCCGGCCTCCGCTCCTTTGCGTCCTCCGGGTCCCCCGCGCCTCGCCCCGCCGAGACGAGATGAGCTTCCTCTTGTGAGTGGGGGGACCGGAGCCTGGGGGCGGGGGGCCGAGCCTTGAGGGCACGCCGCGGAGGGAGGTTGGAGACCCCCCCGGGGGCTGAGGGGAGGGCCCCGGGGGCCGGCGCAAACGCGAATGGACACCCCAGGACCTAGGTCCCAGGGTCGGGACGAGGGGGGCATTATAGGGCTTGGGTCTTCAGGTTTCGGTGCCCTAGGGGTGAGCCCCAAGCACCCCAGGCAGGAGTGGGCCGCTGGGGCCAGGAGGCTGGAGTGTAGTCAGGCGGTGCTGGGAGCGGGCTTTGGGAGACTAGGGGGACACCGAGGGTGGGGGCCCTCCTGGGGGCTTGGTGACCAGGGCCCAGGAGTCTAGCCCCCGGTGATTTTGGGGGGCTGGGAGAGGGAGCGGAGACAGTCCCAGCCGTGGCTCTAGGTAGGAGCAGGGAAAGGAGAGGGAATGTAGGGGAGGCCATTGGGGTCAAGACTAAGGAAAAGGGGGGATGGGAAAACAAAGGGGAGCAAACGGGGGGGGTGGCAGGCTGAGATCCTGATGGATGGGGCCGTTCTCTCTCAGGACACCCCCCCCCCGCCGAATTCCCATTGTCTTCATCAGCTCCCCTTCGAGTCATTAATCACGTCCAGCCTGGTGACATGCCGGCCAATGTGGTCAGAGCTGCAGCCCAGCCTCCTCCTGGTTCCCCCTCCCTTCCCGGGCTGGGGGGGGGGTCAGGGTCGTACCCCTCCTTCCTGACCCCCTCCCCGTGGGGCCCAGCCCAGAAGAGGAGGAGTGGCAGAGTTCTCCCGGGCTCCCCTTGGGAATTTCCTGTTGTCTTTAGAAACCAAACTTATCTTCTTTCCAGCCTCTGGAAAAAAACCCAAACAAACCCGGTTCCCCTCCCAACTTCCCCATTTCTGTCGGGGCCATCCTCCTAGGCCGAGCCCCTCAGGGCAGTGCACGTTTATTAAGCCCCTACTACATGCCAGGCGAGTGCTAAGTCCCAAGGCCACAAAGAAAGGTTAGCCCACAGAGTGCCCAGGTTAATGGCAGGGCCCTTGACCCCTCTTGGTACAAGTACCTGGACTCCGTGTCTGGAAAGACCTGGGCTCATCACCCAATCACTTCACCTTTCTGGACCTCCTTATCTGCAGCATGATATTCAGCCAGATGGCCAGTAAAGCACGGTCCAGCTCTGTCAATCACTAACCCTGTGACCTGTGAACTTAGGCCTAATAATGTCTTGTCGTACTAGGTCCCTACCACAGAATACAGTGACTGGCATGTAGTAGGTGCTTAATAAGTGCTTATTTCCTCCCTTTCTTGAATCCTACTTCTGCTGATCCCTGGCTGTGTCACCTTGGGACCGTCATCTTCTCTGGCCTAGAATTTCCTTATCTAATCAGTGAGGGGGTGGGACTAGATGGTCTTAAATCTGGAGCTAGAAGGGACCAAAGGAGCCCTTTGATTTACGGATGAGGAAACTGAGGCCTAAAGAGCTTGGTGACTTGGCCAGGGCCACACAGGTAGTTTGGCAGCCAAGCGGCACAGAGAACAGAGGTCAAGCCCTGTCCCGGATCCTTGACAGTTGTGTGGCCAGGCTATGTAACTGATCTCAGGAAGGAAGGAGACAAGTTTGTTTTTGGAGGCAGTTGGGGTTAAGTAACTTGTCCAGGGTCACACAGCTAGTATGTGTCTGAGACTGGATTTGCACTCAGGTCCTCCAGATTCCAGGGCTGGTGCTGTATCCACTGCCCCAAGACAAGTATTTATTAAATGCTTACTATATGCCAAGCACTGAGGATACAGATACAATGTCAGTGCTGTTATTATTCCCATTTTATGGATGAGGAAACTGAGGCAGGCCAAGGTAAAGTGACTTGGCCAGGGTTTCCAGCTAGTTCACACCTGAAGCTGGATTTGAATTTGGGTCTTCCTGACTAGAGGCTAGGCCGGGTAGGCCCTGGGTTCCCTTCCAGCTCCATGAGTGTGGGGGAAGCACTTCCTGTACATGGGCACCAGCCTGCCACGGTATTCACAGTACATCCCCCTTCTTCCCCTACAGTAGTAGCCGGTCCTCCAAGACCTTCAAGCCCAAGAAGAACATTCCGGAAGGCTCCCATCAGTACGAGCTCCTCAAGCACGCAGAAGCCACGCTGGGCAGCGGGAACCTGCGGCAGGCCGTCATGCTGCCTGAAGGCGAGGACCTCAATGAGTGGATCGCCGTTAACAGTAAGTCCTTGTTCTGCGTGCACAGCTCATGGAGAGGAGAGGGCTTTGGGCATTAGAGGCTGTCCTGTGTTCTTAAAGTATGAGATCCTGTAAGCATAGACCCATGGACAGAGGTGAAACTGCCCAGAGATTCTGCAAAGGTGAAATTGACAGGTCTTGGCCCCATGTTGGATCTGGGGGGTGAGAGAGAGAGAGAGAGGAGCCCAGGATGACCCCTGGGTTGGGAGCCTGAGCACTGGGAGGATGGGGGAGGGGGAAGGGGCTTAGGAGGAGAGATGGTGAGTTCTGTTTTGGACATGTTGAGTTTGAGGTGTTCACTGGACGTCCAGTTGGGGACGCCTGAAAGGCGGCTGGAGATGAGCCATGGGAGGTCAGCAGAGAGGTGGGGGCAGGGAAGGTGGATCTGAGCTTCAGCAGCATAGAGGCGATCACTGCAGCCATGGGAGCTGAAGAGCTCACCGAGGGAAGGAGAATGGGGGTGGAGCAGAAGGCCTGGGACAGCTCCCTGAGGGACCCCCGTGGTTAGAAGGTGGGATCCAGAGAAGCAGCGGTCAGAGAGGGAGGAGGAGAACGGGGGAGGGAGGGTCCTGGAAACCTAGGGAGGAGGGAGTGACCGATGGTGTCTCAGGCTGCAGAGAGGTCAAGAAGAAATAAGGGAAAAGGCATGTCTTAAGTGCTTAATATTTGCCGAGAGCTGTGCTCAGAGCTGAGGATAAATAGAAAAGTGAGACAGTTACTGCCGTCATGGAGCTCACGCTCTAATTGATAGAGATGGCGTGTAAAACTTTAGGCTCAGGGAAGGGCCTAGAAAGCCTAAGGGGGCAGCTGTGGGGTGGGTGGCAAGGCCCAGGGGCCCTTGGGGTACATCAGCAGGTCAGATGGGTGGCCAACGTCTGGGTCCCAGAGGCTGGAGGGGCAGGGTCAAGAGTCAGGCCTGGTGGACCCATCACACAAGGAGGTATAGAGTCAGCGACTTGCTGCCTTACTCATGTCAAAGAACCTGGAGGGGTTCTGGGCACCCAGGGGCAGGGGCACAAAGGGGGACCTCACGTGGTGTATCTGCCCCCTCACAATGAGAAAAGACCACTGGGTTTGGCAGTCGGGGGTCATTAGTGGCTTTGGAGAGCACAGTTTCAGTTGAATGATGAGGCTGGAAGTCAGATTGTAGAAGTAGAGGCAGTGAGTCTAGACAGGCTTCTCAAGGAGTATGAGATAGCAGACAAAAGCTAGCAGGGATGGTTGGGTCAAGCGAGAAACTTGGACAGAAGAGGGAGACGAGGACAGATTCATTGGCGGCTGGGAGGGAGCCAGCAGGCAGGAGACTGAAGATAGTGCCATCTTGGGGAGCACAGGGAGGCAGCCTGCTGGGGAAGTTGGGAGGGGGGAGATCCAGGGGGCAAGCAGCGTTCTCTTGGCAAGGAGAAGGTCCACCTCATCTTGAAGGATGGAAGGGAGAGGCAGCCCTCAGGGGCCAGCCTTTGTCTTGGGGCCAAGTTTGAGGCAAGGTGTTCAGCTGCTGGGGAAGAGGATCCGGGGAGGAGAGTAAAAGACAGGAAGGCTCTTGTGTTTGGCAGCTGGGAGAGTGGGAGGGGCAGCCAGGGAAAAGGGCCCGGCAGACATGAGAGGACGGAATTTGCTGTGGGCCTGCTTATGTGGTTTCCTCCAGCTCTGTTCAGTGGCGCGTGAATCCTCACATCATACCCAACTCAAGCTGTTTAGGGAAATGAAAAGAGAAGTGTCTGCAGACATTGTCGCCGGGCCCTGGCCGCCCAGCGACAGGGGAGGGGGCCCTTGAAGGACAGGCTGGATCAGCCTCCAGAGGGAGCTGGCTTCTGCCCTGCAGGACTTTGGCCCTGGAACAGATGGAATCCAGGACTCCACAAACATCATCGTCATTTCTCTAGGGAAAAAATGACCCAATTTTTGACCTTCTCTCTCCATAATTGATACAAGGCGCTTTTTAATTGATTCAGTTCAACAAGCATGTATTAAGAGCCTTTTATGTGCCAGGTTCTCTGCTGAGCACCAGAGACACAGTTTCCTAATGTGGTGGCCTTTTCTCGGGCCTCCTCCTTCCCGCTCTCTCCACACGGTCCATCCCCACCTTCACAACACGGCTTCTTCCCCTCTCTGCAGACCCTTAGATGTTACTCCCCTCTTCCCCCCTCTGTGGCCCAGCCGTCCTTGTTCTGCTGCCTATTCTTCATCTCCCGTCACCAAGCCTTTGCAGTGCATGCCCTATGGGCCAGGATTCACTGTCTCTGGACATCCAGCGTTTTCTTTCGAGACTCTGCTTCAGCGCTCCTTCTGCAGGAGGCCTGGCCTGGTGCCTGGAAATGCGTGTGCCTTCCCTTCAGAGGCTGCCCTGTGTCTGTTTTGTAGACTTACAGGTATGTATGTGTGTATATGTGTGTACATATGTGTGTGCGTGTACATATATGTGCATACGTATACACACATGTCTATGAGTCTGTGTGTGTGTGTGAACGTACGTGTGTGCATGCAGACCTACACACAGACTCTCCCTCCTGGTGTCCCAGCACTTGGCCCAGTCCTGGCCCAGCGACAGCACCCCGTAGTAAGACGTCTGTCAATCACTTGCGTGCTTACAGGGCGGGTTCCTGTTGAGCTCTGAGGCTCCAGTTCTGTGGCCCGCTGGAGTCTTCTCGTTTCCCGGTGAAGCATCCCCGTTCCATTCCGGTAGCCAGACCTCAAGTGCAGTCAGCTGAAGCCCTTCACCATCCCGATTGCAATCCATGGGGTGCTGTCCAGGGACACCGACAAGCGGTCGTCTGGTCTTTGCTTGGGGGTCCTGGTGCAGTGTTTCCCTGGATGCCCCTCCCCCCATGCACTTACTGCTAGGCCTTGGGTGACTCCCGTCCCTTCCTGGGCCTCAGTTTCCTTTGCTGTAAAATGAGGGGGTTGGTCAGATATCCTCTGCAGCCACACTTCCATAAACTTGCAGGGAGGAACAATGTGTTCCCCTTCGGGGAAGCCGTAATTGCGAGGAAGCTTTGGAAGGTCGTTCTCATGCTCATTGTGGTTAACCAGGAAGCGGGTGCCGTGTCCCGTGACATCTGACTCACACTTCGGAGCCAGGCTTGTTATGTGGAGATGTTGGTGATGATCTGATTCTTTCTTCCGTGGTCTGAGCAGAGCCTTGGCCTTGGCCTTGGTACCAGGGGGACCTGGGTTTGAATCATGCCTCAGTCACTCCCTATCTGGGTGACCTCCCCTCCCCTCCGGAGGCTGGTGATGACTTCCCGTCTGCTCTGTACAGACGTTGTAGGGACCTCGTGATTTGCATCTGGGAGCTCCTGGGGGGCCGGGACTGTTTCTGCCTTTCTTTGTATCCTCAGTACTTAGCACAGTGCCTGGCACGTGGTAGGTGCTTCCTAAAGCCTCCTTGACTGACTGACCCTGGGCAGGTCCCTGAATCTCTCCATGCCGCAGGCTTCTCATTTGTAAGATGGGATCACCTCTGAGCGCCATTCCAGCTCTGAATCTGTCGTGCTAGGAAGCACTCGGAGGCCCCCAGAAGTTTCGTTCATCAGTCATCGGGCATTTGAAGGCACCTACCACATCCCAGACACTGTTCTGGACACTGAGGACACACGAACAGGCAGCCCCTGCCCTCCAGGAGCTTCCACTCTCCTCTGTGGTGGGCAGGGACGTGAGAGGGAGCTGTGGTGAGCGGCGCTCTGTCCGGTCAGTAGCACGCAGGCCTTCTGGGACCAGCATGGTGGGCTTCGCCAGGAAAGCTCCACGAGTCCGCCTGGAGGGTTTGGTCTTTTCGTGTTTTCCTGAGCCGGCAGCGACTCAGCTGCCTGTGAGCCTGAGCAGGAGGAGCCCAGGGAGCTCGCTTCTGTGCGAGCCGGTGCTGCTGTGGGGGGAAGGGGGGCTCATTTCTTCCGGGCCTGGCCTTGGAGCCATCTGTAGCAGCTTCCTCAGCTCCTTTGGTGAGGTGGGAACAAGGGCTGCTCACCCATGCCTGATTTCTCGCGTCCCACCACTCCCTTGCCTGACTCACTTCTGTTTTGTTCTCTGGCTTTAGCATAATTAGCCAGTCAGGCAGCTAACACTAATTAAGCACCTACTGTATGTGGGCAGTGTGCTGAGCACTGAGGGAAGACCACATGCAGATAACCAGGTGCATCCAGGCCGCCCACAGAGGAGAGGAAGGCGGCCTTCGGGCCCATGACGGTAGCCCAGGCTACAGACCGTCTGGCGGAGGGAGTGCCAGCCGCTCTTTCTCCCCTTGTGTTTGTCTCACAGGCGCAGTGCCTGGCCCCTGGCTCCCTCCTGATGACCCAGCCCTGGCTGAACTTGCACCCAGAGCCCATGCCCACCGTTCTGGGGAGGAAGTACTCCCCTCAGCGGCCCCTCCTCCTTCGAGGTTCACTCAGCCCCTCTGCAGCATTCGATCCCAGTTCCAGGGACCTTGTTGAGTTCAGGGCCTGCCCCCAGTCTTTCCGCCTGCTCAAACGCTCTAGGCTCCGGGTTCTTCAGCCTCCCAGACCCCTTCCCCCGCCAGCCCCCACAGAGAAGGTGACGCCCTCCTCCATAGCTTGACTTTCAGTTCCGCCAGCCCCGGTTTGCCCCTGCTGGTTGCTCTCTCTTCTTTCCCCGTCTTGACCCTTGCTGAACCAGTTCAACTCAGCACTCTGTCCTCTGTGTGAAAGTCACCTGCCCCATTGTCCCCTTGCCTGCTTCCCCACCCCCACCCTGGGATGACTCCCAAGCCTCGCTGCCTCCGTCCCTCTTCCTGTGCTGGAGAGAACAAGGGAGCCGTTGGCTGGGTCCACCACGGATCACCGTCACTTATTCGCGGGTGAGCCCTCGCCACAGCAGGGCAGTGCTTTTATGCCTCCGCGGTTAACTCACTATCCCACTCCCCGCAGTGGCTCCTGCACACCTTCTCACCCTCCTAAACGTCCATGGCTCCCCTGCCCCCACCCTCTCAGCTGAGAACCTGCCTGATATTTTACTGAAAAAAATGT